AGGTCAGTTCTATGTTATTTGATATGGTAACATGAGTGCACGTGAGCTGCATCATTGTAATTTCTGTATTTTTAGCCAGGCACGGGTGAAAGGTCAATATAATAAAAATAATAAATATATAAATGTATAATGTTATGAGATTTAAGCTATTTTGTCTAAACATTTATGTTTTCATGTTATAATTTGTGTTCGTTCTAGAATGAAAGAGGCATAATTTATGTTTATTTCATAATTTGTTATGGGGGTTGTGAGATTGTTCAAATCTACTGAACCCTTACAGAGATTAATCATTGAAAATGACAGATAAAATATAAAGTTTTTCTTAAGAAACATTTGATAACTATCTGGACATTATAAAGATTTCGCATATGAAAATTTTCTGATGCATAAAAGTATTTATAGTATTTTGGCACTTGTGTATAAAGTTAAAATCATAAATAGTATTCAACGTTAAACTGGTACACAATTAAAAACATTTTATTTAGGCCTATCTATGGCCTTCAAAACATTAACGACTCTACATGTTTTGACGTTACAACGTCATCCTCAGTTTAACGTTGAATATTATTTATGATTTTAGCATAAAAGTATTTTTAATCTTAAAATGAAAATTACTTTGCATGATAGACAGGCAATATGTGAAAAGAAAAAAAGACATCAGAGAAGCATTGCTTTACAAATCTTACAACTTAATAAAAAAATTTCGATATTTTCTGTATGAAAGCATTTTAATGCTTACTGATAATCTGCCAAATTTCATCAACATGCAGGAGTACATAAAGGTATTAAGGTAGTGTACAGTGCTTGTGCTACATTCACATTTGTAGCTGGTGACAGGAAGGGTGTAAGCAATCTGTAATAAGGTAAAAATGTTTGAAAATATGACTGTCACACTCCTTTATTGCCTTGACACATGTGCCAAAACTGTCATCCAGTAGCTTTCCACTGAACATGTGCTGCCATTTTACCAGCTCTCTTTCTTCATGATGGAGATGATAACAAAACTTTTTGAAATGTTGTACACTTAATCTATTTTAAACTTGTAAAAAAAGTTTCTTTATTACATTTCAAGCCATCTTTAAACATTATTGTTTAATTATCCTCAAATATTTTGAACAGTGTAAGTATGTATAACTCCAATTCAGAAAGATTATAGACCTCTCTGCACCAATAAGAGCTATAACTTTGTGCATAACTGCTGTAAAATTTCCTGTGCCTGCCACAAGTCTTGAACAAACCACCACCCCAACATGTGTCTACATGTATTGTGTCAATCTATCATATAATCATCCTAATACTGTAGTCCTCCACCAGTAGGAGGATGACACAACCTTCATGAGCATTAAATTGTGTGGGCACTGGCACATGATCATAGGATCATTCTTTCCTTGGCACTGCCTGTGTTCAGACATGTTTTTTTCCTATGCTTTTTGTGTTTCTAGTTGCTTTTGTCTGCTGCCTTTCTTTGTTTAGTGCTACAGTACTTTTGTTCTTGTTGTACTTTGGTTCCATCCACCTCATTGCAAATTATTTTTCTCTATTCACCGTATTTTTTCTTTGTGGTACTTCAAATGATGCAAGAATTTTTTTTTTTCAGAGGCCCAGTCATTCCTCTTCAGGCATTTTCTCCAACTATGTCAGTGGTGACCAGAAGCCCCTTACCTATTCATAGAGCTGACATTCAGTAATCATCCCTTTACCTCACATAATAGAGTAAACACCCGGTCTGTGACAGGTCTCGGATTTTAATCCATAGTGAGGTACTATGGTATAGTGGACATGTTGAATAACCACAGTCTTACAGGATTGTAATGATCCATGATATAACAATGTGTGCACTGCTGATGTTTTTTAACTCTCTCAATACAGGGTTGGTCAATTTGACCGGGTCACATAACCTTTTGTACTCATTTAAAGTCTTTATAAGTTTAATACTTATAACTCTCAATATAGTGGGTATATCTTCACGAAATTTGGCTGTCTTTCAGTTAATATTACAAGTCTTTCACAAACAAAAAGTCATTTTTAATAAAATAAAATTAACCTTTTTTTTTTTCTAGAATGACTTCAAGTTGTAACATGAAACTACATTTGTTTATCCTAAGTAGCTCAAAGTTTGTAACAGTATGCATCTATTCATATTTAAAATTTATTGTTTTATTGCCCTTCGAACCGTGTCTAACTACTTTCTGTGGCATAAAAAATTGTAAATCACTTGGAGAATGTGCATGTCACATTATGCTATTGAATCACATTACCCAAGAGCTGCTGGCATACATGCCTCATGAATAAAATAATCAACTAATCGTTTTTATTGCTGTTGGGTTTCGAAGAGAGTTAACCCTAACTTAATTTAATAATTTTTATTTAAGTAAATAATGAACCAAAGAATGTAAACTAATAACATGCAAAAAGTAGACAAATTCCATTACCTCTCAAAATTTTTCTGGCTTTCTAACTATGCGACAAGAACAGTTACAAATTCATCCAAGCTAGTCATTAACTTTCTCATCAGAACAAAGCTTGTACTGTGAGTGAAATTGATGCTCTCCTATTCAGAAGACAAAGTTACATGATACTTCATTTGATAGATAAAAACCTTGACTTTCTATTGGTTATAGGTAATATATAATAAAACGTTAGAGAGAACTATCAACGAACTGTGAAAGAGAGGATTTGACAGGTGGGTGTGGCAGGAGGGGTCTGATTTTCTATTCAGTAGCTCTGTAACCAAACAAAATTGAAGACTATAAAAGTTATGGTTTGTCTGAGCAATAATGATTTTATAGAGTGTAATTTACGTTTAATTTTGTACATTTTTGAGAAGTGGTGGATAAAATAGGAATGATGACATGCTAAGACAAAATGTGTCATGTAAGTCACACTAGTGGAAATTCAGGATTTTTTTAATATTCCCTTGTAGAATTAAGAACTTGAAACTTGTATACTATAAAAATATGGTATTAACTAAGATTTTATGCTATTCTAATTGCTATAACATAAACAAAATAGTATAATAGTAAAAAGTAAAACAAAGTAGTATAATACAGTTTTGAATGTAAGACACTAAAACTTTATGTCATGCGCAGTAAAGGATACCCGGGGTGATAGGGTTAAAAATGATGTTACTATTGTATATCAGGTTTTTGGTTCCCCTCTGGATACTTGTCCTGTTAGGTTACTCTTCTTTCTATTTTGTTGCTCTCTGTGTAGTCTGCCTTGCTTATACATGATATTGGCCTGCTCTTCCATCTTCAGCCTTTGCTTCAAATTCTTCTCTCTCTCTCTCTGATGAAAAACAGGTACCTCCTTTTCTGTGCACTAAACTCGGAACTCAGGTTTGTTACTTTCTATCTTTTTTGCCAATATACCATAATGACTCTCAGGATGCTTTACTTTGTAGACCTTCTTCTGTGCCACATCCACATTGGTTATCATCTTCCTATCCTCCTTATTTTTTGTGGTGGTCTAAGGTCATGACATTTTATATTTTTGTACTCCAATCTTGTGTGTTCCTTCTATCTGCTTGGAGCACTTCTCTTTCTTTTCTGCAATCTTC